AAAAAAATTGTTTTTCTTCATATTTCAATACAAAGATGCCCTTGATGTAACACTTCTAAAATGGATATCGTTTCATAAAAATTCACAATAGTTATTTCATAATATGTAATCAAAATTTCGCTTATCTTTGATTTTACTGTTTTATTTTCGTCAGTTATATTGTAAACAAAGAAGATCTTTAAAAATAAGATTATTGAAATAAAACCCCATCATTTTAAAGCCCATGACGTCTTCTTGTAATGATTTCCACATTTTCGATTGTTTTTACTCAAGACGAGCGAAAATTCGATTTTTTTTTTTGCTTTTCACGAGACATAATATTTTTCGTTAATACTATAATGTCTCAATATTGAGTATTCGGACGAAATAAGCATTTTCCGATCTTTTCTATCACTTTTTCATCAAAAAAGCACTTTTTTCTATTTTTCAAAATAGCGTATACTATGGTGGTTTTCAGAAACTTTAATTTCGTGTATTGGAGAGAAAAATTTTTGCTTGATGTAAGCGTTTCAAAATGGAACTCGTTTGATCAAAATTCACAATATATAAACCTTAAAAATTCCATCTATCTACGATTTTGCTATACCCCTCGAGAAAGAAAAATTATTAGAAGGGCTTCAAAACGAGGAATTTTTATTCAGAATTCCGAAATCAAGAAAGTTACTTCGGCTATTTTCCATATTTAGTCTTTTTTTAACCGTGTTTTTATCCTAGATAAAAGAAATGCGCTTTTTTGCTTTAAAAAACGATATAATAATCATCATTATAGTCGTGATGTTTTAGTCTCTAGTGTTTATTACAAATAAAAGTATTCGGCGATATTACATCTAATTTTTTTTATAGTTACGCCCTTATTTGGCGTGTTTGGTATTTTTCAAAAATGTCACAAAAGTTTGATTTTCATATGGATTAGAAAGATATACTTCATATAGGTTTCTCAAAATGAAACTCGTTTCACCAAAATTCCAAATATTTAAACCTTCATTTGTTGTGAAATTTCCGGCTATTTTCGATTTTACTATACTCCTCAAGAAAATAAAATTAGTATAAGGACTTCAAAACAAGGATTTTTTTATTAAAAATTCCGAATTACAAAAAAGGTATTTCGTCAATTTTCCATATTTATTCTATCTTTAACTTTATTTTTAATTTGGATAAAAGAAATGCGCTTTTTTCTTTTTACCTTTCGATGTGATATAACAATTTTCATTATACTGGTAAGTCTTTATTATTGAGTTTTTCTGATATAGTTAATCGACGATTTCACACTTAATTTACTTTTAAGTTGCGCACATTTTGGCTTCTTTCAAGAAAATTATTTTTTTATCAAAAATTCCGAGACTATACTATTGAGTGTTTTCAAAAGTTTCGCAAAAAAATTATATTTTCATGTTATTGAAATTGAAAGATGCACTTGATATAGGTTTCTTTAAATGAAACTCCTTTCACCAAACTTCTCAACATTTAAGCCTCCATCTGTTGTTAAAATTCCAGCTATCTTCGATTTTACTATACTCCTCAAGCAAAAAAAAATGATAATAATACATGATCTTCCTAACGAGGAATTTTCACTCAAAATTTCCAAATCTCGAAAGTTATTACTGCTTTTTTTTCAAATTTAGTCCATCTTTTACTTTCTTTTTATTCTGATTAGAGGAAATATCATTTTTTTTAGCCTCATAGCGATGCAATATTTTTCATTAAAGCGGAAACTTCTCATTATTGAGTTTTTAAGAAAAAATAGTAATCGGAGATTTCACACGTAATTTTGCTTTAAATTGCTCTCTTTTTATTATTGGATTGACTGTCACATTATAATGATCCCAAGGGTGAAAGGTCGAGCATGTTCGGTGACGGAGAGTCAAACCTGTGACCCTCATGCTGTGTGTCGAGCGCCTTATTTTGTCAGAACATACTCCACATGTAACATTTCATACATACCTCTATGATGCTAAAGTGTTAGCCTGGTGTGTTTTCAGAGTTGACTTTGTTATTGGAACACATTTTTGAAGAATCATCTGCGCATAAAGTGCAAAAATGCACAGTCACTGCTGCATGGTACCATGCAATGTTCACAGCCAATGGGACTGCCATGCTGTAGCCTCTCCACATATACTTGTGACCATGTGAAACACATCTTGCAAATGCACTTTCAGAGCAGAACGAGCTCACTTCACTTTCCTTGTAAATGACCACCTCGTTTACCAGATCTAAAGCTATATAATTTCTGGATGTGGAAGGTAAATGAAGTCACATTTGTACCGTGGGAACCTCATATAGTTCCATGCTTCAAGAATGCAATTATCCTGAAAGTGGCCAGCATACCAGATAAGATGTTATACATTGTTGTTATAATGTCTCTAGTCACACAGTATATTTTGTATGCTGGAAGACCACATTTTGAACAGTCTGTACTGATTGGACATTAGGCCATAGTGGCGCCCCTGGCGGGAAGCTGTAAAAACTGTGGCATGTACATCTGCATGATACCTTTCAATTCCCCTGTGCAATAGCACCTTCATATTTCATGCTGTTTGTGAAATATGATGCATTGAACAGCTAAACCCTGTGCATCAATGATATAGATGAAGAAATGATCAATAGGTTGCTTATATTTACTGGTGATATTAAGGTATTGAGTGTTGCCAACTATGAAGAGGATGCTGCTGCTTTACAAAAGGATTTAGATCATTTAGTGAGTTGAGCAAATAGATGGCAGATGGATTTTAATTAAAATAAATATAAAGTAATGCATGTGAGTCATCAAAATTTAAATTATAAGTATAATTTGATACGAAGAACCTTGATGATGATATTAAAGTAAAGGTTTTTGGGGTTCTGATTGATCAGTCTCTTAAGCCAACCAAGGACTGTGCTGTATTAGGAGGAAGATAAATAGAATTTTAAGTGGTATACAGAAATAGTGAATACAAGTCTAAAGAGGGTATAATTTCATTGTATTGGTCACTAGTTTGTCCTCATTTGGAATATTGTATTCATTGTTGGGATGCTTACCTTAACTTGTTGTAAAGGATTCAGAAGAGAACTACTAGGATGTTACCTGGGATGGAAAGGTTGTCATACAAGGAGAGTTTATAATCTCTGAAATCTGAAAGGGGATTTGATTGAGGTGTTTAACATTGTTAAGGAGTTGATAGTGTTGATGTATCAATCATCTTTGCCCCCCAGTGGCACAGTGGTATGTCTGCGGACTTATACCGCTCGAATAACTCATTGCATGGATTTGTGTTTTACTACAAACAATCATATTTTTTCCATATTTAATGTTGAGAATAGCAAGGCTATGCACACAAATATGAATTTTGGTAGAAAAGTAGTCTAAGTGTGTTGGCCTTTGGAATGAGTTGCTTTCATGTGTGTTAAATGCAGGTTTGTTTGTTCGTTTTGAATTTTGCGCAAAGCTACACAAGGCCTATCTGCGCTAGCCGTCCCTAATTTAGCAGTGAAAAACGAGAGGGGAGACAGCTAGTCATCACCACCCACCGCCAACTCTTGGGCTATTTTTTTACCAACGGATAGTGGGATTGACCGTCACATAATAACGCCCCCACGGCTGAAAGGGCGAACATATTTGGTGGAATGGGAATTCGAACCCGCACCCTGCAGATTGCGAGTCGAGCTTCCTGACCACCTGTTCATGCCGGGCCATTGAATGTAGTAAATTTAAGGATGTTTATGGGAAGGCTTGATAAATATTTAAATGGTAAGAGTTTGTGAGATAGCAAATTATACTTTTTATGAATATTATGTTTATCGTTCATTTATTATTTCCTTCTATCATTTAGTTACCTATGAATTTTTAGTTGCATTAAAACGCTAATTCACCTTCAAGCTAATCATTTTTATTTTAAGTAAATATGTGTGTGTATGATGAAAGTGACATCAGCTTCCCTAGCGGTTGCGTACACATACCATTAACGTAGCAGAAAATTATGTAAATATGTGATCACAGGAGGTGTA